CACACACATATATATATATATATCACCAAAGCGCGCAAACGCACACGAATATCGGTTGCGGATGTTCTAGACAAAAGTGATTGTTGCGTCGAGCAGAACGGGCGCTTGCTGTGTGTGTTTGTGTGTGTGTGTACATTGATACCACGTACCTGGTATGCGGTTGAGTGCAGGTAGTCCATGGCAACGGCCTCCTTGTCCTGGTCCTGCGCACTCATCTGCATCAACACCTCTCGCTGTGCAGCGGCCATGTCGACATCGGAGAATGTTGGGTTTGTGAGGCACCCGCCCAGAACACCCACAGCATCGGCAGCCTTGGCAGCTGAGGTGCGTGCGTAGTAGCTCTGTTGGGTGATCGGGTGAACCAGGGGGGTGGATGTCAGTACTGAGAAGATTGATTGGTAGTACAGAGTGTGTACTGGTAGCCTTATGAGCCGAAAGAAACAATCGGCTTGACATGTGATATATAATTTAAAATCAATAAGAGGTGCTGTTGAGGGATGCAGTAGTATTTGCACCCATGGCTTATGAGACTGCAGTAGCTCTATAGGGCCAATGTTGAGCTACTGAGATTGTAGCACTTGACAATACATTTGGTGCCAGTGTAGGGCACCAAGGTTTCAACAGATATAATAAACCCAACTATCCTACACAGTGTTTCTCAAAATAGACCCAACTACCATACACAGTCTTTCTTAAAATAAACCCAACTATCACACCAAGTGATTTCTCATAATAAACCTAACCATCATACAGTGACTTCTCATATTAAACCCAACTATCACACCTAGTGATTTCTTATATCACACACAGTGACTTCTTATAATAAACACATTTACCACACACAGTAATCCCATCCCCTATATTAAACCCAACGATCACATACAGTGATTTCTCGGCCAGTCCAAGCACCCAGCTCGCCTCCCACTTTGGCCATGGCACCGGCGGCCTTGCCCTTGTACATCAGATGCTCCACAAAGTTAGCAATGCCGTGGTTGTCAGGGGTCTCGAACCTTGACCCAGCATCCACATACAGACCCACTGTGGCAGCCGAGTTGGTGGTCTTCTGGGTGGCTACTCGCAGGCCATTCGACAGCGTGGTGGTCTGGATATTGTGCACGGGGCAGGTACAGGGGTAGAGACAGGGGAACGTGGCAGTGTATGTGAGTGTGTTGGTCCGGTAAAACGTGCACCTACGAAAGGCGAGTAAGGGGCCGTCGACGCAGCCATGGGCAATCCCTTGCACCACATGCGGATCACAATATCATGAGGACGACATTGAAATTGTACGCTCATCGCGTATGTGTTGCGTGGCCATAAGTATTCCCAGTAGCTATGTGCGGACGATCACACAGCACCAGGTAATAGTGCAGAGGTGTGTTCGGATATAACTTGCGTGGATGAAATCCGCGTTCTGAATAAGAAAGCATATCGTTGGTGGCTGGCGTGTAGAGTCGATGATTGCGGACTATTGATTCCAAATCAAAAAGCACATGACAGGTGTCAACGACTTAGAATGGCGCGCGATACTGAAAGCGGGCGAATGTGGATGTGTAGCTAAAGACGATGCCTGTTATGCGATTTCAATTAAGTAAAAGGATATACAGAATTTATAACAAGCGTATACAGTAACATATATTTTCCTGCAGGTGGAGAGCCAAGAGATGATCATACTTAATAGCACTTTAGCTTTCCATTCTACCTTTTTTCAAATGGAAAGAGGATAAGCACGGTAATGTGTACTGAGGCACAGATGCACAATTGTACATTAACTTAAAACATTC